AGTGAGAGTGCATGATGTTGTATTATGAGTTTGTGGGAAGGAGAATGTGTGTGAGTGATCTGTGCAATATGCGAATTGTCTGCGTGTAGATTGTGGGAGAGCATTCGTTCTATATTGACCTTCTACTCAACAAGCATCCTCTCTCAACACAATCGAACCATGTGAGATTTGAAGCGTTCAGTCGATCTGTCAATTTATATTGAATTAACTGAATCACAATATCACCTGTGAATTATTCACCAATGCATTATGTTTGACGAGAGAGTGATGGAAGAGAACATTTGAATGAGACACTTGATCATTGTGCGCATAGTGAGAGTGCATGATGTTGTATTATGAGTTTGTGGGAAGGAGAATGTGTGTGAGTGATCTGTGCAATATGCGAATTGTCTGCGTGTAGATTGTGGGAGAGCATTCGTTCTACATAGACTTTCCTCTCAACAAGCATCCTCTCTCAACACAATCGAACCATGTGAGATTTGAAGCGTTCAGTCGATCTGTCAATTTATATTGAATTAACTGAATCACAATATCACCTGTGAATTATTCACCAATGCATTATGTTTGACGAGAGAGTGATGGAAGAGAACATTTGAATGAGACACTTGATCATTGTGCGCATAGTGAGAGTGCATGATGTTGTATTATGAGTTTGTGGGAAGGAGAATGTGTGTGAGTGATCTGTGCAATATGCGAATTGTCTGCGTGTAGATTGTGGGAGAGCATTCGTTCTATATTGACCTTCTACTCAACAAGCATCCTCTCTCAACACAATCGAACCATGTGAGATTTGAAGCGTTCAGTCGATCTGTCAATTTATATTGAATTAACTGAATCACAATATCACCTGTGAATTATTCACCAATGCATTATGTTTGACGAGAGAGTGATGGAAGAGAACATTTGAATGAGACACTTGATCATTGTGCGCATAGTGAGAGTGCATGATGTTGTATTATGAGTTTGTGGGAAGGAGAATGTGTGTGAGTGATCTGTGCAATATGCGAATTGTCTGCGTGTAGATTGTGGGAGAGCATTCGTTCTATATTGACCTTCTTCTCAACAAGCATCCTCTCTCAACACAATCGAACCATGTGAGATTTGAAGCGTTCAGTCGATCTGTCAATTTATATTGAATTAACTGAATCACAATATCACCTGTGAATTATTCACCAATGCATTATGTTTGACGAGAGAGTGATGGAAGAGAACATTTGAATGAGACACTTGATCATTGTGCGCATAGTGAGAGTGCATGATGTTGTATTATGAGTTTGTGGGAAGGAGAATGTGTGTGAGTGATCTGTGCAATATGCGAATTGTCTGCGTGTAGATTGTGGGAGAGCATTCGTTCTACATAGACTTTCTTCTCAACAAGCATCCTCTCTCAACACAATCGAACCATGTGAGATTTGAAGCGTTCAGTCGATCTGTCAATTTATATTGAATTAACTGAATCACAATATCACCTGTGAATTATTCACCAATGCATTATGTTTGACGAGAGAGTGATGGAAGAGAACATTTGAATGAGACACTTGATCATTGTGCGCATAGTGAGAGTGCATGATGTTGTATTATGAGTTTGTGGGAAGGAGAATGTGTGTGAGTGATCTGTGCAATATGCGAATTGTCTGCGTGTAGATTGTGGGAGAGCATTCGTTCTATATTGACCTTCTACTCAACAAGCATCCTCTCTCAACACAATCGAACCATGTGAGATTTGAAGCGTTCAGTCGATCTGTCAATTTATATTGAATTAACTGAATCACAATATCACCTGTGAATTATTCACCAATGCATTATGTTTGACGAGAGAGTGATGGAAGAGAACATTTGAATGAGACACTTGATCATTGTGCGAATAGTGAGAGTGCATGATGTTGTATTATGAGTTTGTGGGAAGGAGAATGTGTGTGAGTGATCTGTGCAATATGCGAATTGTCTGCGTGTAGATTGTGGGAGAGCATTCGTTCTATATTGACCTTCTACTCAACAAGCATCCTCTCTCAACACAATCGAACCATGTGAGATTTGAAGCGTTCAGTCGATCTGTCAATTTATATTGAATTAACTGAATCACAATATCACCTGTGAATTATTCACCAATGCATTATGTTTGACGAGAGAGTGATGGAAGAGAACATTTGAATGAGACACTTGATCATTGTGCGCATAGTGAGAGTGCATGATGTTGTATTATGAGTTTGTGGGAAGGAGAATGTGTGTGAGTGATCTGTGCAATATGCGAATTGTCTGCGTGTAGATTGTGGGAGAGCATTCGTTCTATATTGACCTTCTTCTCAACAAGCATCCTCTCTCAACACAATCGAACCATGTGAGATTTGAAGCGTTCAGTCGATCTGTCAATTTATATTGAATTAACTGAATCACAATATCACCTGTGAATTATTCACCAATGCATTATGTTTGACGAGAGAGTGATGGAAGAGAACATTTGAATGAGACACTTGATCATTGTGCGCATAGTGAGAGTGCATGATGTTGTATTATGAGTTTGTGGGAAGGAGAATGTGTGTGAGTGATCTGTGCAATATGCGAATTGTCTGCGTGTAGATTGTGGGAGAGCATTCGTTCTACATAGACCTTCCTCTCAACAAGCATCCTCTCTCAACACAATCGAACCATGTGAGATTTGAAGCGTTCAGTCGATCTGTCAATTTATATTGAATTAACTGAATCACAATATCACCTGTGAATTATTCACCAATGCATTATGTTTGACGAGAGAGTGATGGAAGAGAACATTTGAATGAGACACTTGATCATTGTGCGCATAGTGAGAGTGCATGATGTTGTATTATGAGTTTGTGGGAAGGAGAATGTGTGTGAGTGATCTGTGCAATATGCGAATTGTCTGCGTGTAGATTGTGGGAGAGCATTCGTTCTACATTGACCTTCTACTCAACAAGCATCCTCTCTCAACACAATCGAACCATGTGAGATTTGAAGCGTTCAGTCGATCTGTCAATTTATATTGAATTAACTGAATCACAATATCACCTGTGAATTATTCACCAATGCATTATGTTTGACGAGAGAGTGATGGAAGAGAACATTTGAATGAGACACTTGATCATTGTGCGCATAGTGAGAGTGCATGATGTTGTATTATGAGTTTGTGGGAAGGAGAATGTGTGTGAGTGATCTGTGCAATATGCGAATTGTCTGCGTGTAGATTGTGGGAGAGCATTCGTTCTACATAGAACTTCAACTCAACAAGCATCCTCTCTCAACACAATCGAACCATGTGAGATTTGAAGCGTTCAGTCGATCTGTCAATTTATATTGAATTAACTGAATCACAATATCACCTGTGAATTATTCACCAATGCATTATGTTTGACGAGAGAGTGATGGAAGAGAACATTTGAATGAGACACTTGATCATTGTGCGCATAGTGAGAGTGCATGATGTTGTATTATGAGTTTGTGGGAAGGAGAATGTGTGTGAGTGATCTGTGCAATATGCGAATTGTCTGCGTGTAGATTGTGGGAGAGCATTCGTTCTATATTGACCTTCTTCTCAACAAGCATCCTCTCTCAACACAATCGAACCATGTGAGATTTGAAGCGTTCAGTCGATCTGTCAATTTATATTGAATTAACTGAATCACAATATCACCTGTGAATTATTCACCAATGCATTATGTTTGACGAGAGAGTGATGGAAGAGAACATTTGAATGAGACACTTGATCATTGTGCGCATAGTGAGAGTGCATGATGTTGTATTATGAGTTTGTGGGAAGGAGAATGTGTGTGAGTGATCTGTGCAATATGCGAATTGTCTGCGTGTAGATTGTGGGAGAGCATTCGTTCTATATTCACCTTCTTCACAACAAGCATCCTCTCTCAACACAATCGAACCATGTGAGATTTGAAGCGTTCAGTCGATCTGTCAATTTATATTGAATTAACTGAATCACAATATCACCTGTGAATTATTCACCAATGCATTATGTTTGACGAGAGAGTGATGGAAGAGAACATTTGAATGAGACACTTGATCATTGTGCGCATAGTGAGAGTGCATGATGTTGTATTATGAGTTTGTGGGAAGGAGAATGTGTGTGAGTGATCTGTGCAATATGCGAATTGTCTGCGTGTAGATTGTGGGAGAGCATTCGTTCTACATAGACCTTCCTCTCAACAAGCATCCTCTCTCAACACAATCGAACCATGTGAGATTTGAAGCGTTCAGTCGATCTGTCAATTTATATTGAATTAACTGAATCACAATATCACCTGTGAATTATTCACCAATGCATTATGTTTGACGAGAGAGTGATGGAAGAGAACATTTGAATGAGACACTTGATCATTGTGCGCATAGTGAGAGTGCATGATGTTGTATTATGAGTTTGTGGGAAGGAGAATGTGTGTGAGTGATCTGTGCAATATGCGAATTGTCTGCGTGTAGATTGTGGGAGAGCATTCGTTCTATATAGACCTTCTACTCAACAAGCATCCTCTCTCAACACAATCGAACCATGTGAGATTTGAAGCGTTCAGTCGATCTGTCAATTTATATTGAATTAACTGAATCACAATATCACCTGTGAATTATTCACCAATGCATTATGTTTGACGAGAGAGTGATGGAAGAGAACATTTGAATGAGACACTTGATCATTGTGCGCATAGTGAGAGTGCATGATGTTGTATTATGAGTTTGTGGGAAGGAGAATGTGTGTGAGTGATCTGTGCAATATGCGAATTGTCTGCGTGTAGATTGTGGGAGAGCATTCGTTCTATATTGACCTTCTTCTCAACAAGCATCCTCTCTCAACACAATCGAACCATGTGAGATTTGAAGCGTTCAGTCGATCTGTCAATTTATATTGAATTAACTGAATCACAATATCACCTGTGAATTATTCACCAATGCATTATGTTTGACGAGAGAGTGATGGAAGAGAACATTTGAATGAGACACTTGATCATTGTGCGCATAGTGAGAGTGCATGATGTTGTATTATGAGTTTGTGGGAAGGAGAATGTGTGTGAGTGATCTGTGCAATATGCGAATTGTCTGCGTGTAGATTGTGGGAGAGCATTCGGTCTACATAGAACTTCCTCTCAACAAGCATCCTCTCTCAACACAATCGAACCATGTGAGATTTGAAGCGTTCAGTCGATCTGTCAATTTATATTGAATTAACTGAATCACAATAT